CAGGAAGCGGCGGCCACGCTTATTATATACACTGGCCCCGGTTCCGGACTAATGGTCTATTAGGACTAATTATTTTTAAATTTATGGCTTTTACCGAAGCTCCTCTGGCAGCTAATCATTGCTAGTTAAACGGACGGTTCAATTAATCATACAAAGATACATGTACACCCGTTTTATTGAGTGACACGTTCCTTCTCCAGACATTTTCGCACCGAACGAGCTCCTCGTTTTACTCCCCCTTCTTCTCTTTCTTTGGTAAGAGACCACGACAATAACCCATTTGGCTTTTTGTTAACTATAGTGAAATTCTAGACAGTTAGTTCAATGGGTCCTAGCAAGTCAAGGTCTAGTACCTACGGGGTTAGCGGAGAGCGCCTTGCTAATACGGCTCTTTAGCACGGGCTCTGTTGATTTTGATGTGTATTTCGAAAACCAATCATGCAGCTCGTGGATATTTAGTCCTCCTTCAGGCGAATGGAGGAGGCATTTGTAGATAAGCGCGGGATATGTGCCATGGAAGCAAGCCCCTTCTTTAGGCCGTGGGAGGCTACTGCAGGAACTTGGGATACCTGAAGGTTGCCCTGTCGTTGCTTCCACATCCAAGGGACTCTCTCTCGCACCATCTGGACAATCTGCTAGAGATGGTCCATCAACTTCACCGTCCTTGTTTATAACTGTATAATCAGGCCAGCCCCAGAGCTGCAACTGCAATACATTGACGGAAAGCTGCCAAGTATGGTGATCAAAGTCGGTGACATTATTCTCTTTCCCTGCAAGCCAGAATGGTCTGGGTGAACCGGGATCGTCATGAAGGTTACGAATTGCATCTTCGATCAATATGATAAGCATTCTCAGATTCTGTTGCAAGTCGGGGAGTGGCTGTGTTGGGCTCTTATTACCCAGATCCTTTGCTTGGCTCTGTATCGTGTCGCATCTTCTACATGTCAAAATTAGTAACTCCGCGTGCCGAAGAGTGGATGAATCCATGATCAACGACCACCTGTCCCTAAGACTGGCAAGTATGTTGCTAGTGTGCTTGAAGATCTCGCATATGATCCAATGGTTATGGAGATGAATGGAGGCAATAATCATGCTTGTCCTCTTTAAAGGAGCGAGAAGGTCGTCCAGTGCAAGCGCTGTATAGGGTCCATATCCCAAGGTTTTTTGCAGGGTCTCTTCGTGGCCTTCTCCCATTCTTCTACCTTGGCAATAAGCATAGAGAAAATTGGGTGCACAGTATAATGTCGGTACTTGCATAATCCTAAGACAGGCTTTTGCCAGCTGGACTGACGCCGGGGAAAAGCTGCAATCGACGCCTTCAACCATTGCCCGTAACAGCCAGCCTAGAATTGCTGCTATCATAACTCCTGGCACAGGGTTTTCCACTCTAGTGATAGCGTGGTGTACAGCGAGTCGGGTGTCGAAGGAATCATGGACAGGTAAACTGTAGGGCTGTTCCAGATGCAAAAGGAAGAGGCGAATGGTAATCCCGACTAAAATCCCGTTTCGGTCTTTGCCCATCAGTAGGAATTTTAGCTCCAGATCTAGAGCCGGCCGAGGGAGATTGGGCTGGTATGTTTGGTTCGTGGACAGGCGATCTGAAAGGAAATTCTTCCATTTTGGACTAAGGTGAAGCTGTTCCAGGAAACCACTTTTCCATGTCAACACCTAGCAAGTCCAAAACAAAGGAGATTAGAGCGAATCTTACCTCATGGTCAAGTCCATTGTATCCCCAAAGGTCACTTGAGTGGGAAAAATGTGCGAGCTTTATGCACTTGCTATGTGGCAGAGGCAAAGGAATGGACTCAGTAAAAGAGATGCGGTGGTATAATGCGAAGTATGACAGAATCCATTTCTCGTCGTGCTCCTCGTCGCCTCCTATCTATAATATATCTTCTGCTTAAAGCCAGTGAGAACCCCTGCCTTTCCAGCCAGAATGCTTTAGGTCTAGCTGACAGGGATGTATACGAGATTTAGGAATTGGTGGGCCTTGTTCTTTGTGGAAATGACTCGACCATGGGCACCATCACTCATAAAGATAGAGATCGAGTAATTTGAGCCAGGCTGATCGCCGGCCTAGAATCGTAATGTAAATCTCATTACTCAGTAACGGTAATGAATAATTTATCATGCAATGACCGTTCGCAAAAGTGTCGCGAATACTTGGCTACCCTCTAAGCATCTTTCGGCTACGGACTGAAAGTTGGCATTTAGAGCTAGTAAATGGCAGAGCAGTGGTAACAGATCCGCGTAATTGACAATGTGAGACAGGCAAGACTGGTCCAATTTGCTGCCTGGTATCCTCCTTGATCTAGTAAAGATTTGCGTTAAGGCCCCAAAAATCACAGGCGTGCTTCTGGGTATATAGCCAGATGTACAAAGACCCAATCAGATAGCCCGGGGAATCCGGCAAGGTCAATGCCCCAAGCGCTAAATTGACCAGGAATCCACCAGATTTCGAACCCGGTGCGCTAGTTATCGCTGATCAAGCCCGGTGATGCAAGCCAGCCATGTACTCCGAGTCCATCTCAGCCGAGGTCATCTCCCCGGGTATGTATTCTACTACTATCTCCACTTGAGGCAAATTGAAGAATTGACGAGATTGGTATTGGTTATAGGCGGGGCTACATAGCTAATGCGCTGTGGTTTGTGGGTTCATCATGCGTTTTCCTCTTTTCTTCGCTCTCCGTTTTTGAGCCATTGCAATCCACAGGCGTTGCAGTACTCGTTTCTCCCGCGGGACCCTTTCTCCACATAGGGGTGCTTTCGGTCTTACAGGAAGCGCATCTATGCTTTGATCGTGTACAGAGGCCAGGCATAAGGGATGGCAAATTGCCTTCGGCAAGTAAATTGAGATTCTTCTGCTGCCGTTGTCGTCTTGAACCTATCTTCTTACAGCTACGCTAAATCAGACAGCTTCATATCAGGTTCCGGTTCAGCCCCCAGGCACGATTCCTCCTCACAATTCTCTCGCCCCGGATCCAAAAAAAAAATTGTCGCAGAATCCCGGCCTACTGATCCTGAAATAAAGCACGACGTTCCTCTTCCTCCCTCTGAAACAGCCAATCCATCCTCATGATCATGTCGCGAGCATTGTTCACCCTTGCTACATGGTTGACCGATACCTAGTAGGAAGTAAGTAACCGTAATACTCTTTAGACGACAATTGGTTCACCATGACACCGTAGGGCCGCTCATCCCCACAACAGAAGCACCAGGATTGTAGCCTCTCATGGGTTGCCTTTTGGTTTCCGAAAACAGCGACCTTCACTAGTTCATAGCAACCACTGCAAAGGAAAGCGATCGCAGTGTTATCGGACTGGGTTTCCATCGTGTACCAGGAGAAATTGGGTAGATTCTTGTTAGAGGTGGATTCCAAGGGGCAGGAGACGGACACCGCGGAACTCGACTAAATAAAGGAAAATTTAGTGTTAATGCCGCAACGAAATCAAAATCCCTTCTAATGCTAACAAATCCAGCTCCTCCCCTCAATGTATACCCCTGGCCGTCATTCCCATCGCATTAAAATCACCACATCCTGTTCTATATTTCACGGCTTTTCTGCAATGTAGTAGGAAGACTAACCATAATTGTCTAGCGCGGAAGTTGTGGCCACTAGCGAGCTCGGATATTGGGAGCGACTCCAGTAAAGGGCACCACTTCCGACAGCGGAACTTCTGCTTCCCCAGTGTGTTTTGTTGCTCATTGGCTATCTATGCCTGAGCCGTCTCGCATCAACACCCTATATGATTCATACTTTGACAATTCGTGTGCTCACAACCAATTACGTTATAGGTGGCTCCCAAAATGCCAAGAAATATGGAGACATGTCCTAATCTATGCGGGTGACGTGCGGTGAATCCATGCGGCCTGTGATGCGTTGCGTTCATCCCGCATGCTGGAAGCGCCCATTGACACGAAGGAAGGACTTCGGTCGGATCACCAAGTCCATATTTGTTACCTGGGATACCTTACTGTCCGTACATTGTCGCCTGTAATAGATCAATTTTGTTTTACAAAATGGATAAAGCCGCGCCAAATGCATGGTGTCATTTTCACAAAGCTAGATTTCGATCTTGCGGAGGTGTCGGATCCTCTCTGTAAACCACTCAAAAGCCCAACTTTCCAAATGCGGGAAGTCCCTTCGCATATCATGAAGTAAGAATTTGTAGTCCTCCCAGAAGCTTTCGCGGAGCTTCCGCACCAGGGCAGCTTTCCTTGCATTTCTTGGGAGAGTTGTGTCCATGTTCCACCATCTTTCAAGTAATTCCAACGTGTCAGGCGATTGTATGGTCTCTGACCGCGAGATCTTGTGGGCTGGAGCCGTGTGCCGTCGAGAAATGTAGTAGTATGCTTCGAAATTGGGTAGGGTTGGTGGCATTTCCTTTGAGATATGTGCGTCCGTGTGTTGCAGCAGGAATTCCTAGTTTCCGGTTAAAGAAGGCAGCATATCCAGTTAAAGTACTTACTTCCAACTCTCTTACAGAGGTGGGTGATCGATGTGCCAATTCATACTCCCCCAGTCCTGAATCGGACACACCAAAGCAGGCATAAACCGCGTCTAGAACGCTCTGAAGGATACGCATAGCTTCTCTGATCTGTGGGAATTCAGTAGAACTGGGGGCCAAGTTGAAGAGACAGAGACCCCATCAGCCTGGCGATGTCATGATATTTGGAGTCCAAGTGTGCCGGCAAATCTCCTTCCCAGCGCGCAAACAGTCAAGGGTCTCGACCACTCCACGAAAGGTCCCCATAGGCGACAGCGGGCAACTTGGAAGGATTTCCAGGTAGAGAAACCTTTGGCTTTTTCGCTTGGTGCGCAGGTCATCCACATGCCAGGCGAAGTATCTCCGAAGAGCTTCCCTGCGTAATAGTAGGAAGACTAACTTCAACTAGAATAGCGTGATGTGAACAACTCAAATAATGGCTGACTAGGCGACCTCACGACTTTTCCTAAGCATCCCAGACCACGCATCGAGTCCCTGGCTACCCTGACAGCCATGAAGGGTCCCGCAACACAAAAGCGAGCCATTAGTGCTCGCGAGATCCTGCGGATCACCACAAATTCATTACCCGATGTAGAAAGCTTCCTTGAAGATGACCGGACAGCTTTAATCGCTGGGATCTGCTTGGCCGAAGATCAACGAGACCCGCGAACAGTTTGCCTGTGGATTAGTCCAGCTCGACAACGACGTCCGACTCCTGACATGATCTTTACTCGCCTGCTCGCCATCCGGTTCCTTGCATTAGAATACGAGGATTGGCTAAGACAACGGGACAAGTTGGAGAGCGAATTTGATAGCAGGCGTCCGGACAACCACGGCCAGTGCAAAATTTTCATAAGGGAGAGCCGTCTACTGGACACATCACAGACTCGAGGTTGGCTTGAGTATGGGCAGAAGCTGCTCAGGTTAGAGCGGAGGACAGGGAATGTAGGGATTACCCTGGCAATGATGTTTGCCTTCCCGAGGTTCCCCCATTTCTACGACGGTGAAATTGAGCACGCCATCCACCTGCTCAACCAAGTCCAGTACCAGGATGTCATGAAATTCGCAAGGAAAATCTCGGAAGAGTTTGTAAAATACACCATTTTCTACCGCAAACGCATGGGTTTGTCTGATCAAGTCCTATTGAAGGGCCCGATGACTGACTTCATTCAGATATTTTGTTTGAAAGCCTAAAGCTTCACGGCTCGGAGTTGGACATGGTATAGCTATATCTTCATAAACGGCAGAGCGGCTGGCGAATAAATGTCGTCATACATTGGACGCTCGGAAAATCCTTGCCAAACGATCCGGGACCCTGAGTTCGGCGATAGTTCAATATAGAGGCTGCCCGCGAGGACGAGGAGCTCGTCGGTTTCGAGCACGATTTCGTGGACATCTTTCTCAGTGCTTCTTTCGAATTCGTCTTCCGTGAGGCTATTGCTGGATGAAAAGACCTTGAAGAGCCCGGTCTTCCAATCTGCCTTCTGTCTGAGTACGCGAAAAATGGAGAGCGATCGTACGTCACGTGTCGGGTGTGCTCTCATCACCCGCGACTTTGGCTCCTCATCGTTTGTGCCACTGTCGAACTCGACTATAGCAGGCCCCAGTTTCTTGACTTCGTCAAATGGTTTTTGGAAGAAACTTTTTACGATCATTTGGATCTGTTCACATGTCAACGAGGACACCTCGCGCGGTTCGATAAGGTCTACCTGTTTTCCCGAATCTAAGAAGCGTTTGCACTCATCTCCTCCTTTGCAATAGGAAAATGGTGGAGCATGGAGAATTGGTCCTTGAGATAGAACACTTTCTACTGCCCTTATATTCTCTTCATCTGGTGCTTTGTCTCGGAAACATGTCCAACCCACGTGTTCCATTGTGAAGAACTCAAACCAGGTTGAAGAATCCGTCCCCCACATTCCCATCGATAACTCCATGATGACTAATACTGCCGAGGATGTGCAAATAATCACGAGCTCACCGAACGATAGAAGGAAAACCGACATAGAGGGAAGGATAGTTAAAGCCATTTAACAGCTACATAGAGATATTTATCCTCTCAGCTCATGTAATCTTTTTTTAATCTTTACATCACACATGGACACCGCCCTTCCATAGCTACAGCCACTCAATCTTGCATATAAACCTCGTAACTGATGAAATACGTCGGAAGAAACCAAGGGATGCGAGAACTGGGTAAGATTAAGAGCGTCTCCTTGTACTAATGAGCCGACTAGGTATGTAGGAAGCATCATGGTAAGGACCTATGACCTAGTCATTGGCTACAGTGATATACCCCTCGTCTACTCCCGCACCAGGAATAGCCCTAGGCCCTTGTCCATACACGTAGCCGAGTCCAATATCTTCGCCCTGTGGGGATAAATTCATTTCCATAGACGTCCTATGAGGAAGCAGAAGAAGTAAGGGGATTCTAGATGTCTTCCAACAAGGGATCATTGCTATTCTGGAACGTTGTTATCCATAACCACGAGTCAGTGGATTATTTTGATACAGTAATCCAAGTACACCCTCTCTAATCCATTACATACAATCCCATATTGTACATTGCGGTAATAGCCCACACCACTTCTCTTCTTGTCTCACGTATCTTCTTATTGGAACCTGATAGAGTCCCTCCCTAATTTATCGACCCCGTGTTTCTCTGAAGGGCGTTTCATCTGGTTGTGGGCGGTGGTGGTGGTGCTCCCGGTTTTTTGACTCCCGTAGTGTCATATGCACCTCGTCCCATGTTTAACGCGGATAGAATATCGATCGGTGCTCTAAAGGGGTCAATATTCAGCGGTAAAGTATTCAATGCTGGATGCTGTACTTACTTAGTCTTCAAGTGGAGAGATATGTGGGGGAAAATCTTGCAGGTGTAAATGTCTCGTCTTTTGTATGTACCTTCACTCAGCATGTACTGAAAATACATAGTAAAGCCCAGAGTTAAATATAGAGATCCAAAGTACTAGTATAGTGGAATCTCTCTCAACTATGCGTCGATAGTGGGAGGGGCGGGACATTCTCAGCAACAAGATGAGGGCAATTCCTAATTAGGTGGCCAGGGTAGAATTCCTGGGGAGGCTATGCCACGTTAAATGACAAAGGAAGTCACTAGGCCGGTTTGGACTACCCAGTGGACGCGCTCTGTAATATTTTCAGGGATAGAGTGCGCTACTATGGATTTCTCAATTTTCTTCAAGAATTACTAACTTCTACAGGATTAAGTGAGCAGTTCTATCACTAGTGCAGTGGCAATATTAGAGATTTAGCCGCTATGGGCACATAAGCCGAAATTTTGTAGACGCATATTTGACTTGATTCATCACCGGTTCCAAAGCAGGTTTGGGTAGATCTGCTGCCGTCTGTAACTAACCACAGGATTGCTTGAATACGACTTGTATAAAACATACCAAGTTATATATCCTATTGTTATTTTGCTGGCGGGTTACAGAAACGGCAATCCGGCCGTTTGCAAGCATATCCCACTTCATATACACCGATTTGAACCATCGAGTAGCAACTTTGGTAACATGGAATAAGACGGGGTTCGTGCTCCTGGAAGCCGCAACTGTATTTATAACGACCGTGGTAACACATTCTGTAACGCGGTGGTATTAGCAAAAGCAGCGAACATTTCCTAGACTTCTTACTTCTTTCAGCCGTGTAAAGCAAAAACTCCACACGGTAATTAGAGCGAGCGACAAAACAATCCTAATAATTCAAGCTTTGGAAAAAGGTGATTTGGAATAGATGATAACGAGTCCCAGAAGGAGGAAAAGCCCTCCGACTATATATTGGTAGGCAGCCAATGGATTGTTTGTACTTGCGATCCAAAATCGTAAATTGCTATAGGTCCCCGTAATTGCCTATTGTTCCTGAGTCGAATTACCTAAAGTACAAGAAGGGGAAAATCTATACAGTTGATCTTTTCAAGTTATCGAGGCGTTGAAAGTCCGGGCGAGATTTCACAGCCTGATGGGCCCAAAACACAACTTCATCCTTATCCCTGTCACGAACACAAACCCTATACTCTTCACCACCACCCGGAACTGGTCTAGAACCATAGATATGAATGATTTCATCATCGGAAAATAGGCTTGTCCTCGGATCAGAAAGGAGGATGAGTTCACGCGAAGTTTCAAATAACTAGGGGAAATACTCACTGCTCACAACTCGAGTCATCTCGGCTATTGCTTTCAAAGGCTTTTTTTGGCTGGGATCCTTGTTCGCGATGGCCTCCCGCATATCGGAATACTGCCAATCGGGCTTTTGAGAAGCTCGGGGTTGGTTGATTGGACTCGGGGGTTGGGACTCATACGCCGTTGATTCTAAACGCGTAGGCGTACCTTCTGTAGGTTCTTCGATTTCCTGGCCACATAGGCAAGAGATGGTCACTCGCAATTGATATAGCAAGATTTGAAAGATCATAATTAGATGTTATTCAGTAACATGCGGTAAGCACATAGAGCAAGTCTGGGTATTTGAGACTTGAGACGGAAAGTAATATATAATACGTCTCGATCTATAATACTATGGGCATTATGCATGTTCCGCGTAGAGTTGCCGATCGCTACCACTGAATGAACGTAGACCACGTTATCTTGATTCTAGTCGTCACTATAGACCGGTTTGCACCCGTAACAAGCCTAAATTTCTCTCGTATACACATATAATGGCCACCCCTAATTCAGATAGGACCCTCACCGTAAAACGCCGTGTTGAGGAGACCTACGAACAGGTTAGCGTAGCTACAGTTTGTTGCGTTAATCAGCTACGTACGCCAATTCTCATGTCGATTGTTGCTTTCCAACGCTAGCTCCGTTATTGGAAGGTGGTTTGCATGTTTAACGCTGGAGGCACAGGCACCTGCTTGTTCCGAAGATACTGTAGGAGGTTAATGAAACGGAATGTGGCTATCAGAAACAGACCTACCTAGCACATCATTCACTCGCGTTTCTCGTGAGGAAGTTGGTATTCTCGAACGGGTAATTTCAACAGTAATGAGAGTACCCTTCAAGCCATCCATGGTAATTTCATGCAGGAATCTAACAAAGATGACGGATTTTCCAGTACCAACTTGCGGTGAGACCTTGACAGGGCTGTCGTCTTTATAGACTTGGTAAAGTAGTTTCACTTATCTCGGCAGTCGAGCAACTACACATGATAGCAATGGGCGGGACGGCGTGCCGATCGATCTTTCCGGGTCGCGATCACAATTAATTTTTAGAAGTAGACTTAGCCAGCAGTTAGACATAGCTGGCTATCAACCGTATACTAAACATTACTAGCAATCTGGAGCTGGATCTAGTGGCATTTGGGCAGATGAGCAAATTGTTTACAATACTATCGACTAGTACTGAACCACACGTTTGATATCGCACCTAGCAATAGTAAATAACCAATTACGATCAGCCCTAACTAGTTCACGATGGCTAGTAATTAAATCTATACTAGTACCAATTTTGGGGGAAGGGTAACATGATGGGAGCACAGTCGGAGTAAGACGGCCTTTACTGGAGTCAAGAGGAGATCCAGCTTGGTGGAGCTGCCGGGATATCACCTCATCAGACGCTTGGCCAAGTCTACCGATCAGCAACTACTTGAACAATTATGGATTAGCTCGTGTGTACACACGAGCTAATCCATAATTGTTCAAGTCGCTCCACCGTGGCAAACAACTGCCACGCAGGTCCATGCACCTTGAACGCTAGGCAACCAGATCCCGCCTTCGACCTCCAACACGCTTTCCTGACCCGGGGCTAGATCAAGGAGCTGGAAAAGCCAGTCATAGTTTTTTTTTAACTAACCAAATACACATCAATAGCTTGTAATTTTTGTAAGGCTCCGATCAAAATGGCTCCATAATTTCGGCTGTAATAATTGGTATCTTGCAATGTTCCAGGGCAAAATGCAAGTCTAGCCCACACTTCTGGGCTTAGTTTCTACATCTATCATTCTATCAACATATAATCTTCCATAGCTGTTGGAAATTGAAGCAGTCTTGTTATTTTTGACCTATGAAGGAATAAATTCAAAGACAGAGAAACAGAAAGAGAACGAAAGAATAAAACAGAAATTAGGTACTGAGGTAAAACCGTAAAAGAGAAAAAGAAAAACGAAACCAAAAATAATGCTGAAAACCCTATACCACCAATCCAGGGCTCGATAATCACTGGTAGCGGGGTGATCTCTATTCTCAAGGTAAAGACCATTGTTGGTTGTCAGACGCAAGCATTCCCAGGTACCACAAGGCAAGTAAGACAGTAAGACGCGGCTGGCTTTCATCTCCTTTTGTATTCCATGGAATAGAGTCAGACAACTCGAGATTTCCATTACGGTCAAGGCGTCGAATAGCGATAAATTCAGTGTCGGTAAGAATAAATCCATAACGAGCTTTATGCTGATTCATATAAAAGTTGACTTGGGATAAAGGTTGTTTGCCTTTTCTGACTTGCATGGGGTTTTGGCTGGTCAACAGATTAGGTGACCACTTGAAGGAAGGTTTCAAATCACCTGGAGCACGGTTTGGTCTGGTTCTGGGTGAGAGACTTCCATCGTAGTAAGCGGTATCAGGTATGAACTGCTGAATAATTTGTGCCAAATTTCCCTCCCCGAAGTCAACAACAGCCTGATCACCGAGCATGCCGTTTGTGGT